TGAGCCACTGCACCCGGGCCTTTAGCCAACTTTAAATTTTTGATAATAATATTTTAAATTTGTCCAGAAAAATTCATAAATATGAATTCTCTTTGTAGTAGCACATTGGTGGTAGGAAAGGTTAAAAAATGTGACTCTCACAGTGAGAATAAAGGTGGTTAAGGTTTCATTTTTCAGTCTTTAAAGGGTTATAGCCTTTACTTATTGCACTCCTGTAAACTGAAAAAGCCAGTTTAGGAGCTTTTTATTTAAGTGTGCAGTAAGCACATACCATTTATTTATGTCAGCTTGACATTTTCGTAACTCTCTTGCTCTCTTCAAGCGTATTTTCCTAAATATAAACACAGAACTTTAGTCTTTAAGCAAATAATTATCATAAATTTTATGCCTCAAATGCCAGGCATACAACTGGGAACAAAGGAAGGTATTTTAATGAAAGCCTTTTGAAGTGGGGGGCAACAATTCCAGTGATCTTCTAAAGAATGCTTTTGTGAAAGAGCTCCCTGAGTAGAAGGGAACTCAATGCATTTGTGTTGGAGGCATTAAGGAGGTAGTTAGGTAAATGCTTTTGGCTCCTCTTGTCATATGAAAGATAACTGTATTCTCTCAGACTATAGATATACCCTCTCCTTGCCTTCCATTATTTTCTAGAGCCACCTCCCTGTTCTATCCCTAATTAACTAGTTAGTACCTAAATTCAAAGAAACTTTTAGTTTTATAGATATATTGTGTATATGATATCTAATCCGAAAGAATGAAATTTAAAATTAACTGCTATTGTAAGTGTTTGGTATTCATGGAGATCCTTGAGCGATTTTGAGTTTGAGATTATACAATATTGTCAGAAAATTCATATTAGATTTAGCTTAATTATACACTATTTTAAAAGCAGAAGTGTTTGATGCTTAGAAGGAGTTTCGTTATACTGTTGGAGTATAATCTTCCAAGATTTTACTCATAGAAGGAAACTTATCTGTGCTCATTTAACCTGTACAGCATTCATACATACCTAGTAACCATAAGCTTCTGCTTGAACATCTCAAGTGATGTTTTTTTGAGAACTAATAACCACCCAAAGCAGCCCTGCTTGCCTTACATCTGCCTGGTAGAATATGCTTTGTTATAATGTAACCAAATATGCTTATCTCTTGAACTATTTTCTCTTATTTCTATCTCTACTTCTTTTGGATCACTTTGAGTAGCCTAGCCATTTTGCCCAAGTGAGTCCTTTCTTCTCCCAGTTCCTTTATTCGTTTTTCATGTTTCAGAGTTTTACATCTCCTCATCATTCTTTGACTTGTTCTGAAATAGGTATTTACAACTCTGAACTAAGAAGAAAATTGAGAACACTATAAGAGGTATTGGAAGCAGACAGAAAACGAGCTATGTGATGAGGGTGCAGGATGAGATACAAGATAGTTGGATAGCTATCTTTATTACTAATTCATTCAACAATACATATTGCATGCCTAGGTACTTTGTGGTAGACTGATGGCCCCCAGAGTGGAGGAGGTAGTTAAGGAATAAATGAAGATCTAATTTAACGTTAGATTGTGTTGAGAGCAATGAAGAACTTAGGTGAAAAGTACAGAGAGAGAAAGGGTGTAATGTTATTTGGGCAGTTAGAGAAGATCCCTCTAGGAAGGACCACTGAAGCAGATCCCTAAAGGAAATAGGAGTGTGAGCCACCCTTATTCAACAAATGTTTATTTAGTGTCTGTTTGTTGAACACTCTATATGGTGCCAAGCACTGTTCCAGGAATTAAGGATACAATTGTAGGGGAAGGTGGGGAAGCCAGACAAAACTCCCTACCCATGTAGAGTTTATTTTCTAGTAGGGGGAAGATAATTTGGGAAACAGTGTTTTGGGCTAGAGTTAGTTGTAAACAGGTAATATCATGGTAACATGTTTAGACTTTTTCCTGGAAGGAATGGATTAAGGCTTTAAAACCAGGGAGTGTTATGATCACATCTCTATTTGAGAAAGTTCACATCAGTATTGTTGAAAAATCAGTCAGTTAACTGTGTGGAAACTGGCATAGAAATAGGAGAAGCTAGAGACAGAGCTCTCTATTCATGGGCTTTTAGAATAGTCCAGTCAAGACTGCTAAGGAACCTGTGACCTGTTTAAATAGTAATATCAGGAAGGAACAAATGAGAGGTGTCTGTTTAGGCATGTTTTAGT